GGCGAGGCTGAAATCGCCGAGCGCGATGCCTGAGGGCGCTGTGAGCCGGGCGGCCCTCGCGCCCCGGGGCTGGTGAGACTGGGCCCGAACGGGGGCGCTGACGAGTCGTGGGGGCGTCCGAGGCTGGGGAAAGGGGAAGGGACGGGGCGGGCGTGGAGGGCGGAGAGCTAGCTCCGGAGGGTCGGGGGTGGGGGAGGGAGGCTCCCGTGTTAGAACCAGTTGCTGGGCCACAGCGATCCCCGCCGCGCCGTGACCCGCGGCCGCCCGCGCAGGTGCCCGGCTCCCCGGCGGAACCTCCCCTGTGGCCACCCGGGCCTCCTCCCCTGGACACTTCAGTTGCCATGGGGACAGCTAGGAGTTAACGGGGAGCGCGCTTCTGAGGCCCATCCCATCTCTCCAGTGAAACGCCTCTGGCAGACGTGGGCCTGGCATTTCTTCGTAGCTCAGGATTCCCCCCCCCGCCCCCATTTTATGGGTCTGTCCTTCCGACATTGAAATCGCGCAGGGCTTGGAGGTGAGAGTGAAGGGAATGGAGGGATCAGTGCCTAGAGATAAGAGCTGCAGACTCAATTAGACAGAAGGCGAGACACCTACTGTGATGGTCAGGCAGCCTCTGCATCTCAGGTCGGTGAGACGGCATATTGGAGTGTCCTGTGAACTCAGAAGGCGGTGCCAGTATTGAGACAAGTCCCAAGATTGGGCCAGGGACTGCCCCAAGGGGGTCCTCATCATGATGGCCGTGGAAGGGTCAACCATTACCAGCCGTCTCAAGAACCTGTTGAGATCCCCGTCCATCAAACTACGCAGGAGTAAGACAGGAACCCGGCGAGAGGACCTCAGCTCCAAGGTGAGTCCTAGTAGCGAGAGCCAACTCTTTCCAAGGCTCCCCTCTCTTGCTCCTTGTTCCTCTTTCACCTTCCTCTTTCTTGGGAAAGAGGAAAACTAGAAGCTCCTGATGGCTCCAAAGAATCAAATGCTCTCACTCATCTCTGCCCCTCAAACAATGATTTGGCTTTAGGTTGAAGGAGAAGAGCAGCAGGGGTAGGCGACTGAGGTTCATCCACAAGAGGCAAATAGGAGGAAGGCAACCTGGGTCCAGTGGTGGCCTTCCTAGAAACTAAGCATGTGCTTGGGGAAGCCAGTTGGTATGCTATGACTCAGTTTCCCTTCTTGGAAGACAGCAGTGGGACCACATACCCTTTGAAGAGCTAAAATGTGACTAATGTAGCTGCAGGTGTTAATGGGACAGCTGGGATTATGTAAAGCAGAAGGACACAGGCCAAAACACCTAGTCTGAGGAATTGGTTTGGTAATTGCACTTGCCTGGAGTCAAAACAAGTCTCTTCAAGAGACTTAATTTACTAGAGCTTCTTGGCTTCTTAGGAATGATAACATGCATGGGACCAGATGTCTGCCAGCAAAACATTGGATTCCAGACCACTGTATATGTAGTAGAAACATATAATGGGAGTTTAGTCTTTAGTGTTAATACTTATTGTAATTTTGGCCTGGAATCCACTGTTTTGCTGGCAGACATCCTGCCCCTTGCATTGGTCTGCCCGGGAACGTTGCTTATCCCATTCACTGTATGCCAAGAGCTACATCCCTACCTGGAGGCAGATGTTCTTCAGAGGCAGTCCCTTTCCATCTTCTTGCTTATCGGGGTTTTTGTCCATATACTTTATTTATTCAACTTTGTCATGCCCCAAAACTTTGGGAATACAAAAGTGGATGAAGTTTATTTAATCCCTTGAGGGAATCTAAAACTCTGTTCCCACAGGAGCAGATTAGATTTTGTGTCTTATTAGCAGCCTGTAAACACAACAGCCTTGTGTGGTGCAGGATTGCTACAGGCATAGGATTGCTACATTTAAGATGGTAGCATTTTAATGGCTTGCCCATATCTCCTCAGAAACTAGTAAACTCAATGAGGAATAATCTAGAATACTAGTGTACAGCATGGAAGCATTCTAGGGGGATTAGTTCAGATCCTTATCCAATAGCAGAACCTTAACTGGATTTGGTAAAAAGGTGAAAAGCTGTCCTGTATATTTCAGCGGAGATTGTATTGAATCAAACTTTGCTACAAGAGGGCCAGCAGATGGTGTGAAGGCTAAGGCGCTGGATCCCACATGGTCAACTGTGTGATTCGAGTCTTGGACCTGGTGGCTCGAAAATCACACTGGGCTCATGTGCGTGCATGCCCAAAATCCTGAGAGAAGAGTGGAGGAGAAGGGATAGCAGCATGGCCATCCCCCTGAGGGATGATTTATCACTTTCCTTGCCTCTTCTTTCTGGACGGCACATGTGCCCTGCAGCTAGCTAGCTAGCTAGCTATATCTAGATATAGATATATAGAGAGAGTTAAATAAATAAATGAAATTGTCACAAGAAAAATAATATTGCTACAAGAGCCAGTACAATGCCACGTACCTGTAGCCTAGCTATTCAGGAGGATTCAGGAGGCAGAGGTAGGAACATCATGAAGTGAGACTGGCCTGGGTAACATAACAAGACCCTTCCTCTGGAAAAATAAAAATAAAAATGTCACAACGTTGTTCCATGGCAATGGAGATAATGACCCTTCCAAGGGCTCTTATTAATCATTGTTCCTGTTTTCCAGATGTGGGAGAAAGCCTAAAATTTAGAAATTGTCTTAGATATAACTCTGTTCACTCATTCTTAGTGTGGCATGTGCTCGCATTCTTGGCTGGTAATTTGGTAATGACTCGCACTGTTAGAGCAATTTTCTTCCATCTTTGGCCTCTGTTTCTGTCCAGGAATGGTATATATACTAGAAATGTATAACGGGAGTTTGGTCTTCAGTGTTAATACTTAATTTTGGTGTGGAATCCACAAGGTACCTTTAAGACTTCCCAAGTCAGTCATCATTAATGCATTCAACACGTGTTTATATTTAAAGTGTCTATTAGGTGTAGAATCAATGATGAATAAAACATTATTCTTGCCATCAAAGAGCTTGGGGCTAGTTCAGACATATAACAAATAATAGCAGCATGGTGTGGTAAGTGCTGTTCTAGAGTATGCATAAGGTGTTAATGGAAGTACAGGGCAGGGTACCTACCTCAGTTTAGAGGAAGAAGGGAAGGACTTAACAGACAAAGGGGTACTTGAACTGTGAATCCTAAAGCAAAAGAAGAGATCTCCAGGAAAACAGTGAAGGGTACCTCTTTTCTTTTCTCTTCTTTTCTTTTCTTTTTTAAATATTTTTGCCATAGGGTGCTTGCGTTCCTCAGAGAGAGAGAGTGAGAGACAGTAAGAGGGAATGTGAGGAATCACCCCTCACGGAGGTGGCCATCCCACAATCCCTTCTCCTCCATTCTTCTCCTGGGATTCTGGACACCCACACAGTTTCAAGCCGCCGGGTCCAGGACTCGAACCATAGTTGGCCATGTGGGAGTCCAGCATCTTAACCATTATGCCACCTACTGGCCCCAATAAGGGATATCTTTGCATCACTATTGAATATCCTTGTTTCAAACAGTGCTTCAGACTGCTTTAAATAACTTTGTAGTAAAGCTATGTATGAAGGAAATACTTAGCTGAAGTTAAATGACCCTTGAGTGGCTTGACAAAGCAAGGGCTCAGGTGCATGTCTTGGTGCCCAAGAGTAATAGCTGTGTGCCTAGGATCCTTAGAGGTGCCTAATCCCCTGCCCTGACTCCTTAATGAAGACTCTACCTGTGATTTTTCTACAAGCCTGTCTTGTAACCCACGTAGAACCTGGTGTGTTAGGCTGAATGAGCTGCTCTCTCATATGTAGTGGATGTGGTTAATCATGGTAACAGAAACCTTGGCTGTTTGTGGGTAGCTGATTTTGAAATGAAATTTGAAGACAAAAAGACGTATGCATTATGAGGGAGACAAAGAAGTGTCAGATGGCCTTTATGCAGCTCTTACCTCAGATGGCCTGCTTTGCAACCTTCTATCCCTTCTATCCAAAGTAGCCTGCCTTCTTCTTGTCACCGTATTTTACACATACGTGTCTATCCAGGTCCGTATTCACCAGAGCTGCAGGGCCTTCTCTAGAGTGGCAGGACCGACCCTACTACCTTGAAACCAGTCTTTTCATTGTTCTGTATGTTCTGTGTTTTCATTTCCTAAGGTCAGAGGTCATTTTCTTTATTTCCTTTACATCACTCTGTTTAGGACAGTGTAAGGTATGTCCTAAGTAGTAGAGGAATAAGTGGATGAGACCACTTTAAAGATGTCAGATATAGTGGGAGCTAAACTTGGAAGTCCAGGAGAATAAGTGATAAGGCGTTTGTGATCTCTTTAGAAGACAGATCAAAGCTAGGAATAATAAAATAGTGAGAAAGGAGTAGAAATGCAGCCTATTTAGGTGTGAAGGGCGGGCAGGTAGAAGGGAAAGTCCACATATGCAGAAAGTAATGGTCAGTAAGAACTTTTTAATTCATGAGGGACCCAGTTTAAAATATGGTTAAAAGCTGAAGTGAGAGCACCGGTACAGAGGTAGTTTAAGTTATGACAGAGAGGAGATGAGAACTTGGATTTTTTGTCAAACATTTTCAAAGGAAGGGGAGTCTCTGAAGTGGAATAAACTGGAAAAGAGTGACTGGAGGTTTTATGCCAGGTCTGTTGAGTCTAGATGAAGTTTCCCTTGAATTTATTAGCTGTAAATAACCATTTGAGTTTGGGGCCAGCAGGTGGTGTGGTGGTTAAGGTGCTGGATACTCCCACATGGCTGACTGGTTTGAGTCCTGGACCTGGTGGCTTGCTTTCTCACTTTCCCTTTTTCTCTGTGTGTCTCTTGGTAGTCAAATTAAAATAAATGAATGAATAAATAAAATTAAATAAATAATTCTTAAGAAAAAATAACCAATCAAATTCAAATCTTGTACAGTGGTCCATTCCTGATTCTCATCTCAGCTGAGCTGTGTTTTCCTTAAGAAGCAAATGCATGTGTTTGTAGTAGCTAACCCTCCTCCTCTTTTCTTCAAGTTTCTGCAAGATTTTTATGTAGAGGGAGCTGGATTGTTTTTCTGTTTTCACAAAGGATAGAAATGGACTGAAGCCGAGCAGGCAAGATTTAAGTTGGGAATACAAAAGGCATGCCAGTGCTAGAGGGTGGTTAGATTTTGAAAAAAGTAAGTGAAGGAAGTTTTGAAATCTTCCTCCTCCTCAGTAGCCATTAATTCAATCTATATTATAGGAGGGGGTCTTCAGAAAGTTCATGGAAAATGCATATTATGAAAAAATTGTGCATAGATTTAGAAATTTTTTGCCCTCAAAAAAACTTGGACTTTAGGGAACCAGCAGTTAGTGTAATGGCTATGTCGCTGGACTCCCACGCAGTCGACCACGGTTCACATCCCGGACTCGGTGGCTTAGAACTCACGCTGGGCGCGTGTGCGTGCATGCCCAAGATCCTGAGAGGAGAATGGAGGAGAAGGGATTGTGGCGTGACTATCCCCCTGGGGGGTGATTTTTCGCTTTCTGTCTCTCTGTCTCTCTCTGTCTGTCTGGCGAGCGCACGCACCCTATAGCGAAAAAAACCTCTCAAAAAAAAAAAAACAAAACTTGGACTTTAATGCAGTTTTCCACACACTTTTTGAAGTCTCCTTGCCTCATATATTATTATTTCTGGAAACAATGGAGGAGGTGGTTCTCTTTCAGTTGTTATGATTGCAAATCCAATGTTCCCCTCTCTCTCTCACTTCCAAGACTTCCTGTATGATTGTACAGTGGGTGCTTTGATCTTTTTTTAATATATGACTCTAAGAAGTTTGTTTAGGTAGATTTTATGAATGATAAAAAACTAATAATAATCCAATTTCAGCTTCTGCTCAGTGTTTTAGCCCATAT